GGGGGGGGGGGGGGGGGCGCTGGAGGCCGTAAGAAGGAGAGCGAGAGATGCGCGTCCGGGGGAGAGGCGTGAGCGCAAGAACCCAGTCGGAAGGCGCAAGAGGGGTGTCGGATCTAGAGGCGTGCGGGTAGCGGAGGTAGGTCCAGCCGATGCCGGTGTCGGAGCCGCCCGGGTAGTCGGCGGCGTGGTCGTTCTTGATGTAGGCGTTGATGTTCCCTCCGAGGACCGACGCGGGCACCGCCTGGTACGCCTGCAGCAGCTGCCGGATCGACACTCTTGCGCGGGAGATCGCCTAATGAATGAATCAGTGACTAGTCATCCGCAGCCAATCAGTCGGCACTCTTGCGCAGGAGGTCGCCTCGTCGAGCCCGGCCACGGGCGCGTCACGCTGGTACTTTTGCTGGTAGTGGACGAGTCCCATGACCGCCGAGGCGGTGTTCTCCCACTAGAGAAAGTTGGAGAAGGGTTGGAGGAGGGGTTGGAGGAGACGGAGGGGTCGGGGCAGGCGGGGGCGGGCAAAGCGGGGGGGGGGGGGGGGGAATGGAAGGCCCCCCACCGCTAAAGCACAACACGAGCGTAGCAGAGGGCTTGGCAGGGGAAACGTCTCGGGACGCGCCTGGATCCCGTTGCCCCACGAGGTGAAGCGGAAGCCATACAGCTCCTATCGGAGGTGTCTCGGAAGTGTCTCGGAGGCGTCTCGGAAGTGTCTCGGAAGCCATACAGCTCCTATCGGAGGTGTCTCGGAAGTGTCTCGGAGGTGTCTCGGAAGTGTCTCGGAAGCCATACAGCTCCTATCGGAGGTGTCTCGGAAGTGTCTTGGAGGTGTCTCGGAAGTGTCTCGGAAGCCATACAGCTCCTATCGGAGGTGTCTCGGAAGTGTCTCGGAAGCCATACAGCTCCTAGGCGCCGCGCGCGGAAGCGTGGCGTCAGAGGAGGCGGCCGAGCTGCGGAGGCGGCGTTAGGACGCCCGTGCCGTGCAGGCGTCGCGTCTCTCGGAGGTGTGTCGGAGGTGTGTCTGAGAGTATGTGTCTCGAAAGTGTGTCGGAGGTGTCTCGGAGGTGTCTCGGAGGTGTGTCTGAGAGTATGTGTCTCGGAAGTGTGTCGGAGGTGTGTCGGAGGTGTCTCGGAGGTGTGTCTGAGAGTATGTGTCTCGGAAGTGTGTCGGAGGTGTCTCGGAGGTGTCTCGGAGGTGTGCACCTGCCCCTTGCCCTCCCCGCCCGGGCTGCCAATCAGATCCTCGTCGATCTGCCACAAGCCTACCGCCGAGGGGGAGGGGGAGATCGAGCCGAGATGGGGCCCAGATCGGGTGCTCTTCGCTCCGCGGCGCGCCGTCGATCCGCCCCTCCCCGCCCTTGTACCGCGCGCTCCCTAGCGGAGAAGCGACGCGCGTCACGGGCGCGCGCCAGACGCCACCCGCTTGCCGCTGCGCGCTGCCTGGGTTGCGCAGCGCGAATGTGACCGAGGCGTTCTTGCGCGCCGCCGACGGGTCCGCGTCCGCGAGCAGCGACCAGAACTGCACGTCCGCCGCCGCCGCGGCGAGCGGGATGGTGGCGTCGCAGTGCGCTGCGTCGCCGGTGCCCGTGACGTACGTGTCTGGGGCCTGCGGCGGTGAGGCGGGTGGGGAGGCGGGGTGCACTCGCCGGCGAGGGACTGAGCCGGCGCAGGGCGTCGGTGGCAGAGGCAGCGAGAGGGCGGGAGGGAGAGGGCCGGCAAGGCCCCGCGGGCTCGGTGGGGGCGGTGACGGCGGCGGCGAGGGAGGCGGCAGGCTCGGAGGCGGCGGTGAGGGCGGCGGCGGCGAGGGCGGCGGCGGCGATTGGGAGGCAGCGACGGCGGCATGCGGCGGCAGAGGCGGCGAGAGGGCGGGAGGGAGAGGGCCGGCAAGGCCCCGCCAACGAGATCGGTCCCGAGGGCGGCAAAGCGATCGCAGAGGCGCTGCGCGGCAACGGGGTGCTGACCAACCTCTCGCTCTATGGAAACGGCATTGGCGAAGAGGGTGCCAAGGCGCTGGCCTCCGCTCTGCGCGTCAACGCGGTTCTGGCCAAGCTGAATCTCGACGGCCGCGAGCCCCGCAGCCCTTTCGGCGAGCGGTGAGTGGCGGCCGTGTGGAAGCTTCTCGGAAGTGGCACGCGCCTGCTTGGAGTGCCCCCACATCGAGCGCACAAAAGTGGCGGCGGACTCGGCGTCCGCGCTGGAGTTGAGCGCGCGCGAGAGAGAGAAGACCTGCAGGGGAGATGGGGGGAGATAGGGGGAGATAGGGGGAGATATGGCGCCGACGAGCAGCGTGGCGAAGACGTCGATATTGTGCTCGGTCGAGCGGTAGTTGTGCGGGTAGGGAGGGCCTGAGAGCGGGGTGAGAGACGCTTCAGCGGCGAGCAGTCGAGACGTCCCTGCACAAGCACACGGTGGTACCGCGCGCGGCGAATCCGCCCATCTCGTCGTCGGCGCAAGAGACGTCGTGCCGGAGGGCCTGTGCGGGTCCGAGGAGGGCCCGGCTGGACAAGGACGCCGCGTCGAGCCAGGGGCCACGGAGCCGGGATAGGCGAGGCGAGTGGGGGTGGCCTTGGCGACTCCGAGCTGGCGTGGCGGTTGGAGACGGAATCTCCCCGTATCTCCCCATATCTCCTCATATCTCCTCATATCCCGATTCTCGCCCTCTAGCAGCCGCCTCGAGGATGTCCCTCGCGACGCGGGCATAGCAGGCCTAAGGGAAGGGAAGGTCAGGTACACTTCTCCACACACACGAGGTGGTGGGGGCAAGGGGCCAGGCTAGTCCCTCGCGTCTCCACGTCTAGACGACAGGAGCCCCACGGCATTCAAAGTGCAAGGCCCAGTGCGCGTGGGTGAGCGGTGGGTGGATGGGTGGGGGTGTGGGGGTGTGACTGGTGTGTGTGTGTGTGTGTGTGTGTGTGTGTGTGTGTGTGTGTGTGTGTGCGTGCGTGCGTGCGTGCGTGCGTGCGTGCGTGCGTGCGTGCGTGCGTGCGTGCGTGCGTGCGTGCGTGCGTGCGTGCGTGTGTGTGTGTGTGTGTGTGTGTGTGTGTGTGTGTGAGTGTGTGTGTGTGTGTGAGTGTGTGTGTGTGTGTGTGAGTGTGTGTGTGTGTGTGTGTGTGTGTGTAGCACGCCTCGCCGGTCTCCGCCGCGAAGTGCGTGAAGGCGAGCCCGACCCACGCATTGTTGCCTAGAGAGGGTCGCATGTGCCGGGACTTGTCGGCGAGTGCCTCGACGCGGGAGCGCGCCGCTCGATCTCTCGCCCGTGTCGACGGCGCCGTCGGCAACGCCCACCCCTTGGTAGTCGCCCGCCTTCGCGGGCGCGTCGGTGTACGAGGCGGCGAGGAGCTTGAGGCCGCCTGTGGGACGTGTCCAGGGACGTGTCGCGGACCAGCCCTCCGGTGTATGGGGCGAGTGTACAGGGCGAGGAGTCGCGCGCGCCCTTGTCGTCGTACAAAAAGTACAAGAACGACTTTAGCACGGAGCGCGCCTCCTCCAGCCGCCCGCGGCGGGTGAGGTAGATTGCCTGCGGGCATCGCGCCACGCGAAGGGCGTCAGCCACGGCTCTGCTCAGCCACAGTTCTGCTCAGCCACAGTTCTGCTCAGCCATGGTTCTGCTCAGCTACGGCTCTGCTCCCGGGGTTGCACCACCGCAGGGCCAGGGTGCGTGGCTGGACGCGGCATCCGCCCGCCGCTCGCTGCGATGCTAAAAATGCGCTGTGCCCGTGCAAGGCGGCGCGAACTGCGTAGGCTGCGCTGTGGAGGGCAGCACAGCGGCAGTGCGGGCAGGCGCGCACCGCGAGTGCATTGTCGTACACGTCAAACCGGCAGTGCGGCGTCTGCTCGTAGTTGGGGCACGGCTCGACGAGCTTGCACATCTTGTCGCCACACGGCCCGCCGTCGAACGAGTCCGGCCCGAACGTCTGCATCAGCCCAACGCCCTTCCCGCCCATGAAGGACTGCCGCGGCTGCCGCTCGAGAAACGCGTCGACGATGCTGAGGCACGTCTCGCGATCGCTGCATACCCCGTCCTTGCCCGGCGCGGTGACGTCGGGCTTGGACGTGCCTGCTGCCGGAGGGCCGGCCGGCAGCGCGCCGTGCCCCGCAGCCAGCCACAGGCTACCGCACAAAGCAGCGAGCGCGACGCCGAGCAGAGCGGCGCCGCGCGCCGATACGCGGCGGCCGCAGACGCGGAGCCCGGACGACTCCAAGAGCAGTTCACCCTGAGAGGTCTGCATCGGACGCGGACGTGGATTGAGAGGCCGCGTCAGGTCCTGCATCACGTGCACGGCGGAGATGCCGACCCGAGCGAAGTGCGCTTCTGCGGCGAGACTTTTTTCGGCTGCTTGATTTCTTTTTCGGCGGATTCGAGCAGGAGCCTGCTTTCGGCCGTGCTTTTTCTTTTCCCGGTATGATTTCTTTTTCGGCCGGGAGAGTTTTGGCTTGAGAGTTTTTCTTGGTGCAGCATGGGCGAGAGCGCAACTCAAGTTTGTCCGACGAGAACGCAGTTAGGCGTCGTCTGAGAGTTTCGCGCCAAAGCAGACATCTGATCTCCATCTCGAGCATCGCGAAGTGCGGACCGCACGCCGCACCGGTGGCTCCTGCGAGGCTGTGAGCTGTATGCCATGCCGACGCGTAGTATAAGCGGAAGAGCCCTAGTGCCTAGACCGAGAGCGAGTACGCGCGGTGCGAGAGGTCGCAAAAGACGTCGAGGCGGCCCGAGGCGCCGCCGGCGGCGACGAGCAGCCCGTCGCGCTCCGACGTCTTTGCGGCGAGCGTGAAGATGGAGGGGCTCGCGCAGACGGCGCGCGTCATCAGGTCGCCTGCGCACAGAGGTTGATAGCTGTGAACAGCGTCTATTCACAGTGCGTCATCAGGTCGCCTGCGCATAGAGGTTTATAGCGGGCGCGCATCGGGGTGTGGGCGCCCGCTGGGCGGATGGCCTGCGCGGCGCCTCTCTGCGCGGTGTGGTGAGAGGTCTCTCTCTGCGCGGTGTGGTGAGAGGCCTCTCTCTGCGCGGTGTGGTGAGAGGTCTCTCTCTGCGCGGTGTGGTGAGAGGTCTCTCTCTGCGCGGTGTGGTGAGAGGCCTCTCTCTGCGCGGTGTGGTGAGAGGTCTCTCTCTGCGCGGTGTGGTGAGAGGCCTCTCTCTGCGCGGTGTGGTGAGAGGCCTCTCTCTGCGCGGTGTGGTGAGAGGTCTCTCTCTGCGCGGTGTGGTGAGAGGCCTCTCTCTGCGCGGTGTGGTGAGAGGTCTCTCTCTGCGCGGTGTGGTGAGAGGTCTCTCTCTGCGCGGTGTGGTGAGAGGTCTCTCTCTGCGCGGTGTGGTGAGAGGCCTCTCTCTGCGCGGTGTGGTGAGAGGTCTCTCTCTGCGCGGTGTGGTGAGAGGCCTCTCTCTGCGCGGTGTGGTGAGAGGTCTCTCTCTGCGCGGTGTGGTGAGAGGTCTCTCTCTGCGCGGTGTGGTGAGAGGTCTCTCTCTGCGCGGTGTGGTGAGAGGTCTCTCTCTGCGCGGTGTGGTGAGAGGCCTCTCTCTGCGCGGTGTGGTGAGAGGCCTCTCTCTGCGCGGTGTGGTGAGAGGTCTCTCTCTGCGCGGTGTGGTGAGAGGCCTCTCTCTGCGCGGTGTGGTGAGAGGTCTCTCTCTGCGCGGTGTGGTGAGAGGTCTCTCTCTGCGCGGTGTGGTGAGAGGTCTCTCTCTGCGCGGTGTGGTGAGAGGCCTCTCTCTGCGCGGTGCTCGCCGGTGACGGTCCAGTGGTACAGCGACTTCTCCGCGCCGGCGGAGATGACGTCGGAGGTGGAGCCGGGCCGGAAGGCGACGGCTTGCGGCGGCGCGGCGGTGGGGAGGCAGGCGAGGCAGGCGAGGGTGTTGAGCTCGAATGTGCAGAGGAAGCCGCGGCCCCAGCCTGCGACGAGCCACGTCTGGGCGAGGGCGGCGGGCAGCGGGGTGGGCGGGAGGCAAGGAGGCGGCGGCGGGGGGGGGGGGGGGGGGGGGGGGTGAAAATTAAAAGGAAAAGGGGGCCAGGGAAAAGGAAAAGGGAGCGGGAAAAGGAGGCTCAGGGAAAAAGAAAAAGAACCGCGAAAAGAAGGCCAACGAAAAGGAAAAGGAGGCGGGAAAAGGAGGCCAAGAAAAAGGGAAAGGGGGCCGCGAAAAAGACGCCAAAAAAAAGGGAGCCG